AGATGCTAACAGCAGAGGACAAAATACGTGTTTAGGGGTTTAAAAGAGTCTAAATGATTAGGGCCGCTCGATAGAAGCGAAACTTGTGGCAACAACTACGATATTAAAGTAGCAAAAGACGCCAAAATCCTAACCAAAACTTCAAGAGGCATTTCTTGGGCCTAGCTGCCGCTCCGTTTATCTCATTGGGAAAATCAGGGTAATCATCGATTTCTAGACGTAACGTCTTTTCCATAGTAATTTAATCTTCTCACCCCGAGCGAGGCAAAGGAATGTGTCTCTTTCTCTGGTGGTTTAATATTTTACATTCGACATTCTGGAATAGTAAAGATTTTTGGAAACACACTTAGGCAACTCCCATTCAAAGACTTCAGTGTTTCTCAAAATTGAAGAAAAATCAGCTTCTAGTAAGATATTGAAGCGAAACAATACCGAAGCATTTTACATACTAAATCACAGTAAAGCATGTCTAGCTCTCAAAGTTGGCCCTTGTTTGATAGATGCGTGGGATGCTATGCATCAAATTCCTGAAAATCATCATTGAAAACCTGTACTTACGTTCTCGACCCGCTGTAATCTTCGCTGCCTTCAACAAGAGTCCGATAACGTTTCAGATCACCAAGCGAGATCAGATGTCGCGAGCAGGATTTAAGGGCTATCTGAAAATGCGGATGCGATAACACGAAATGTCGATAAAACAAAGGAAGTACATACAAATCAATCGATACTAAATGCAAAGGCATGCACAGCACTGGAGAAGCGTATCCCACTCAAACACGTACCTTCCGCCTACTCGACTCGGCGTCGGGCGTGTTCGGTGACAAGCATACGTCCCAGAAGTTTTCATCACGATCAAATTGGAATAGTGCGGCTTTTTGTACGTCCACATCAAGCTCTTTCTCATATAGGGCAATGAGGCGCTCATAGAAAACGATACCCTGAAAAATAAGTAATCAAGAAATATTTTAGAACAAGTAGGTCGAAAAAAACTACGAAATGGAAGCTGAATTAATTCGGAAAATAAATGATCACTCAGTAATAAGGATAATCTAAGATTTATGACTGTTCCATTTGACCAGATTACACCCGTCCATCCTCATAAATAAAGTCAGCAGACAAAAAATCAGCGGAATAAGAACCAGAGAATATATAAAAAAAAAGGAAAGAGATATCATACCTTATTGATCAATACTAGTAACTGAGCACGAAACGTTCGGGAGCTGTCTTTCGGCGAATTGGCCATCGTCTTGAATACTTCGATTGGCTTGTAAAACGCCTGTTTCCATAGATGTTGTTCAAGATTCATCGAGAACGTGAAAAAGATGTCTCGTAGCATCACATCGTAGTAGATCTCACATAAATCGCCGCTAAAGTGAATGAGAGAAATCAGAATCACTTAATCTTCTGTCCATTGTGAGTATAAAGGCAGAAATACTTGGCTTGGGATACTGTTGTCAGGAAAAAAAACCTAAGAAAAAAGAGAAAGAGAGAGAAGAGAAAAACGAACTTAAAGAGGTAACAATTGAAAATGATGGGGGCGGCAGAGAATATTCCAGTAGTCTGCCCATATCTACCCACGGACAGTCACTCTACCCTTGCTTCAAGAGTAGCAACTCGGAAACAAAATTTATCTTCAAACCTGAAGTCTATCGAAACCAAGTATACCGCCCTCAGGCCCCGTCTGAGCAATCCGTGTGCGGCTAGCCCCAAAGCCTTCTATTCAGAAAAAATAAACTGGAAGATGAGCCTAGTTTTGGTTGATGTACAGTGATAGCATGGGGCGAACCGGAAATGTTATGCGCACATTGGTGGGTAATGAATGGCCTTATATTGTAATTCTATGAAAACTGTTAGGATTTTTCAGGAAAATCTCAACTATGCGAATTATACGATGGACACTTTTCGAAGAACTTAATACTCTTCGAACCTGGAACACTCTACTAGGTTTGCGAATAGTAACTATTTCAAAGAGAGGTGTATTCAAAAAGCTAATAGAAATTACCTCAGCTGCACAATTTTTTCGGCGGCTGCCACGTCTCTTTGTTGCACCTTCGTTAATAAAGATGTAATGGAGTCGTTGATCTGAAATTGATCGCGAATCATGCTTTATGTGAAAATAAAAACAAGTGATCAAAAAAAAAAAACGCCGAGAAAAGCCTTAAAAAAATTAATTTTTCTTTGCCGTCAGCTACAAATCCGGGATCAAGGGACCCGAAAATAATTCCCTACCAAAAGTCAAGTTTGGAACAGGAAGAAAATTCGATAAATGCAAACGAAAGTGGTAATTCATGCCGACCTTCTGCATTTTGGGTCCCTGATTTTTGGCAATTTCGCGGTAAACCGGATAGTCAGTCATCTGTCGAGGTTGATTCGATGGTGAAGCTGATGCGGCAGGCATTTCCTCGCTAAAATTAAAATTTTATTGCTCCCGTTCGTCTCCAGTAAGCAGACTCAACCCATAAGTTTTCTCCTTTACACCTCTACAAAATGTGTCGTTAACATTCAGGTAAACGAAGGAGATCATTCAAGAAAAGTCTCTTCACCTACGTTTGGAAAGTGTTCTGGACTACAAAATTCGCGATAAAAAAATGGGATCTAGAAAGCTTATGAAGACGAAAAGTAGAGGAATGACGGATACATGAAACCATCTATGTGGCATGATTTTAAAAATGGTTGAGAAAGGGCTAAGAGAAGGCCAAGAGTTCCTGCGCCGGCTCAAACTTTTTCCGACTTTGTTTGGTCATCGCTTTTGTAACTGTCAAACTTGTTATCAAGCTTGTTAATATTTGAGAATATTTTAGTTACAAGGAATGGGCTTTGTTAGCTCATCCTAGTAGATCTACTGTTCGCTTCAACCTAAAAGATAAGGGAAAACTTTAAAGTAAATCTGCTAGATGAAACCTCGATCTTTCCAAAAATCTATTTAGACTATACTCAAAAATTGGAGGATCAAATTTCATCGGTTATAGGAGCTAGATGATAGCGGGCATGTTTAGTTCAGAAGTACTAGTATCGTGCTGGAATAATTTTTAAAGCAGATCAAAAGAGAGACGAAAAAGGGAAGGGAGGAGCGACAAAGGCTTTCATTCAAACGAACACTTCGGAATGTCGCGTGCCTTTGTATACTAATACATCATATGCAACTTTTAGGGTCTGCTCCAAAATCTTAATAATTCACAAATTACTGATTGGGTTGAAATTTGACTAAAAAGTTAAAATCAGTACTGAAAGTGGCCGCCGAAACGGTAACCCTACTCATGAACAAATTACTTTGAAAGTTTATTAGGTGCAAAGCCTAAAATTATTAATCGTCAAAAATATTACCATATAAAAGCGAAATTGAATCGAAATACCGTCATGTCATATTACGTTAAAACGCCACCAAAGATAATGAAAGAGATCAGAAGCTGAAAGCTATGACCATTTAAGGTCTTCAAGCCGAGGCAGTTTTTCCTCAAATCAGCTAAGCTACATTCTGACTTCCGGCATTACACTAGCCAGAATCTGTTGAAGTGGGGACAACCAAACCAAAGGGCTAATATCAAAGAACGCGAAGTTTCCCCTTAAACACTGGCATTGATCGGTGAAGAATCTTACTCAGAAAGAAAAGTAGAGGTAGAGTACAATAGTGTTAGTAGAGACATGACAAGAACAAGCATGATTAAATATGTGATACACCATGACACAGTTTTTGGTTAACCATAGTTGGGTTAGTTCAAAATAAAACACACAAATAAAACTGTTAACAGACTACAACTAAAAACAATAGCCAAAAAACTAGCCATAAAAACAAATAATAAAGAAAATTATGCAGATCACCTGTTTCGAACAACACCACTCGGCGCAGCTGTATCGTTCCTCTCTGCCACTGGAAAGAGCAAACCATCAAAACTGTGCTACTTTCAAAATCCCCTCATTTCATATGGGTTTCATTTCCCATATTTCCCCTACTTCCTCTGGGTATCTAGCCATTTCTAGGCCACCTAGATCACCAGCAAACGTCGCTGATAATGACTGGTAATACTTACTCCGCATCGCTGGAGGCTTATACGTCCTTGGCTCATTTCGCATGAGGATTCTAGCGGAGCGCGCCGCCAAAGGTTTTGCTTCCGAAGAGTTGGGTTCTCTTCTTGATCTGTCAACAGTGACACGTCCGAATAGACGACCACCCCTGTTCTCCTTGTGAATGTCATCGCCGCCACTGTACCCATCACTTCGTAATTTAGTCATTGGTGGCGCCCCTGCAATTCGGTTAAGCATTTCGACACCCTTGATTCCTAGCGGAAAATAAGAACAACAAGTGACTAAAATCAGAAAAATAAACGAAAGAAGAAAAAAGATGTGTTGCCTTACTTCGATTATTCCAGTGCTTCTCGTCTCCGCTCTCCTCCGTTGGTGTGCATTCTCCGCTTGAAGGCTCACAAGACTCATCGAACTCCTCCTCCACTATGCTACCACGTAACGATGATCGATCGCTATCTTAAATAAGTCCTTGAAGTGGAATATGGAAGTTGGAGAGAACAAAAAAATGAACAGAAAGAGATCGGATAAAAGCAAGTTTACTTGAGAAAAAGTTTACACTACGGCATGGACAAAGGTAGTCGATGAACGCTGAGATGATACTAGTTAGTGAATTTGGGGCAGTGTAGGTTCTTTATATACTGGAAATGGCCCTTGGACCTGTGTTCAGGGAAGTCCTCGAATTTACGTAATAGGAAGTAGTGGCGAGTTGCTCGACTTTAAAGCCGATGTTAGTCGCAGACCATGGAACTAATGAATCATTGGCTGCTCCCAGGGTTCAACGACCGACCGATCGACGGCGTTACTGGTCACGTGTTGACAAGGCTGGACAGACTGCGCTCAAGGCTGCGTGATCCATTAGTGTGCAGCCATGTCAACACGTAGCCATCGCCGTCGTCGGTCGGTCGGTCGTCGGTAAAGTCGTTGAACACCGAAAGAAATCCTACTAATAAACTAACCATTTCGATTTCTTCCTCGATCATTCCTGAAACTAGGAGGTATCCTCAAAATACCACGCATAGAGTAGTTCGAATGTGGTCCATCTCCATAGGTGAATTCCTTTTGTGGTGAGCCATTGTGAAGATCTTGGGAATCTCCTCTGAAAATACTGATATAAATACTGGCTACACACACGATGTTCGTCACAAAAATGCTTTTAATGGTGTTCTCAACTGAAAAGTACCGAAATAAGAGCAAGGAAAAATCAGTCCTTCATCTCCCCCCCTGACCACCATTACTCCTTTCAATTTTTTAGTAACCACTTCGAAGAAGAAACACAAGAACCAGTCCAATACTGACGAAAAAAGAAAAAAAAATAGAAATATTACAAACTTGCCTGTCTTGATGATTCATAGAATGCTCGTCTTTGTCTTCACCATGCTTTGCGTTATATTCAGATTCGACCTCTCGACTCCAATCAAATGAACCAATCGATTCGAAGGACTGGCATAATTGCATGTACGACATCGATGGAGATTGCGGTGCATCACCGGCAACACTTCGTGTCTCCGTAGACGTATCCACATTCAGTCGATCCTGAACAAAACCTTTATTCTTATATCTCCTGGACTAACAGGGTCACTCTGCCCGAATGGCGCTCATTTTCATCCCCTACTGGAGCTCAAAGAGGTAGCTGCCCTCATGCGGAGGCACTGTTTTTTTAATAGGAAGTGCACGACAAATCAAACAGAATGGACTGGAAACGCACCGATGGCGGAGGAAGACATTCGCTTTGTGTGCTGGTGATAGAATCGTTTCTTCGTCGATTACCAACATTCCGCCGCTGTCCCCCTTCTGCTCGCATCGACGCTCGCTCGTTTTTTTGGATTTGAGCCTGAATTGATCTCGCCCGTTACATTATAAAGAAATCTCAACTCCTTGATGCTCACGACAAATTGGCTCTCGACATTGCATTGTGTAAATATTGATATAAGAGCCTCGTTTGCTGATTTGTTTATTCAGACAACGAAATCCTACAGAAACACACCGTGCGCTTAAATCGAACAGGTGATGGTGCTCTACCGATGTCGGCTTTGCCACCACGACCTCGACTCGAAAAGTTCTGTCGATAACCAAGATAGCCTTCAGGTTGCTGTGGATCGTATAGCGACTGGGTGGAATTCTTAAAGAGTAACATTGAATGATGGCCAACCTCTACAAATTAATAACGCGACTTACATATGAATATCTCGGACTAGGTACTCTATCGTTGACTCCGTCACGATTTCCCTACAACAAACAAGTAAACATTCATATAGGAAAGCAATGTGATGACTACTTCTACGCCCGCGATGCTGTGTAGTAAACAAACACGCATTCACAAACACGTGTATTATAGTGGGCATCACAACTTACCTGTCCCGGTGACATGCGGTAGTTTGGTCGACCTCCGCCATCGCGGGCGCCTCTTTTACTGCTTGATGGTGAACTTGTGAATTCGTGATGGTTAGAGTTGTAAATTTGCCTTCAAAAATAATATTTTTCCTAGAATATAGCTAGTGACGACGGGTTATTCCCCACGTTCTTGATAGGTCGCTATGATCATCAAAGCAGAACTAATTTCATCAATGTGAGTTCCGCTTTAATCAAATATTGAAACTAACTATAAAACCATTCACAGAGACAAGCTCCAATCCATGAAACAATTATGATTTCGATAAAAAGTTGGTCGCGAATCACCGAACCCACATGGGCGATTGTCCAGACCAAAAAAGCGTAAACCAACAAAGGTTGAGAGGAAGGGAAAAATCCGGTAACGTGAAACAAATAATGAGAAACTGAGAAAACCGACTCAAAAAGTAGACCCACTTGTTATTAGAATAACCTCCGCCTCGCGAATAAGTTCGCATTCCAGATCCTCTTCCGAAACTATCTCGTCGATCACTGCACATCGACGCCGCATCGGGTGTTGTGCTCCCGGAATCACCACAATCTATGAAAGAACGATAATAGTCGTTGAATAAATTCGAAGAAAGCTATACGGCTATGAGAACGGAACACATAAGTTTGCGACTTAAAAATGAAAATGCATTCATAAATACCACAATGCATTCATAATTACCACATTACCACAGTGCTAGCCAAGCTCCTTTTTTCCCAAATTAGAGAAGAATATCAAGTAAATTTTTGGCAAAAAGCATGGCGAAAAAGTTTTGCCTTAGTTTTCGTGAAAATGCGCTCACACATTATCAACGTTGAACAAACTCACAAGAATGAACAGATTCCGTATCGTTACTACGTCTTCTGCTAGTAGTTTCGTATGCCCTTGCTATAAATAAAAAAATGAAACAAAATTAACTATGCTTCAGGTCTTTCTAAAATCTCACCTCCTCCGCGACTATTTTCTAGAGAAATTCGGGAAGGACGCTTTTGCCTCGGCGGTTCGCTAGGAGGTTTACAATCGTTCGGTGGAGGGCCACTTGCTGTGACATCCGTTCCTTTTCGCATCATACCTAAAGACTCCAAGATCAGATTACAGAAAAAATGTGGCACTAACTTTCTCTTACGTCTTCACAGCCTTCGTTCTCGTTGGGTGTACTGTGAGAAAAAAATTCAGATTAATTCAGTTAGCGTACGGTACAACAAACATCGTCTTCGCTTCTCCTATTGCGAACGCTTGTAGTACCAACAGTTATTCATATTGAAGCTAACTCTCATCTAATGGAGGCTTATTCAAAGCCCTAATGTGTCCCGCGTTAGTGTTTGTTTTTTTCCTGATCATGACAAACACAGCCATAGAACGGCTATTTGGCACAGGACGTTTGCACTTTTATTTTTTCCGTCAACGCACGAATTCCAGAGCACTGTTCAGAAAACCGATGGAGACAACGGGAGACATGCCCGCTTTTTCCTATAATCGATAACACCCCTACACTTACGTGAATCGAATCAGATAAAAAAGAATGTTTCTAGGTCTAGTGCGGCGTCTAGAATAACCTTCACGATGAAAGCTGCTCTGACAGAGCACAAGTCCACCTGCAGCATGGACCACCTAAACTACCAAAATCGAATTCAGCCACCCTGTTGAATCGTACACTGCAAATTAACAGAAAAGCTCGACACGAATCCGTACGATTTAGATGTTTTATAGATTTGCCAGACGCGTCACAGTGCACAGTTCATTCGCAGTTCCAACGAAAAGGTGCTTTTGCTAAGGCTAGAAAAAACAAACCATTCATTAGCACAACTCCACGGAGAGCAGACTTTTAGTAGAGGCATCGAACTAGTCATTACAGCGTAAAAACGGCCCATTAAAAAGGACCATAATGAAAGGCATAATGACAACGTATGCAGTTAATCATATAAAAAGTGGCAACGGCACTTCGTTTATAGCGAACACCTTCACTGTTAGGCATTACCAATTCAAATTCTGTTAAACAAGGTGGCCAGGTGCGCAGTTTTTCTCGGGGAAACATAGTAACGAGAACTTTGCACAGACTGTAAAATGAATTTAACGCCAACGTAAGCAGTTTTATTCTACCTAAAGAGCTCGACGATTTTCGCAGCATTCTCCAGTGAAATCAAGCTTATACTCAATATTATAGGCAGCATACCTCTATCCCCGCTACTTATGTTTCTATACGACGATGGAAAATGATCCAAATATGTGGGCACAAAAACTAGTGAGGTAAAACAACACAGTACGTAGTAGCTTGCCATACCTGGTCGATATATTTGAATTTCGGGACGAAGTTTTCGTGTTCGCGTTGCATTGGATGAGGATCCGTCCTTCCCTGATTCGTCCGCCATTCTGTTGAAGGAAAAAATGTTAGTCTCTCAATAATAACAGGTCAATCCGAAAAGAACCGAGCGGTATTGTTATTATGACATTTTAATTCCACGACTACGATCGAACACAATATAGGAGCATTTTTTGAACACCACTTTTCGGACATTACATATTAGCAAAGCACTTATTGAAAGAAAATTATCAAAATGATCCGCGTTTTGCTTTCAAAAATCACGAGGTCATTATCACGTCAATACGTACGCACGGCTGTGATAAGAAGACAGCAATCAATGTTTCGTCACAGTTAGCAAGGCAAAGATAGGAATGGAGGACTTTCCAAATGGAATTCTTGAACCGGGAGTTTCCAATCAGTCGGGCTACGGTCGTTTGGGGAGATTTCTTAAATGGGAATTGAGATCCATAAAAGTGACCTCATTTTCAATCGGGTCAAGCGCTCCGACACGGCACTCATAAACATTACTCAAAAGCCTCCCTCCACCTCGCCTCAACCACTAATCTACATGATCTGATTCGCTCAAAAAAAGGTCTGCTTTGAAATGTGGAAGGGGAAATGAATTTGAAAAGAAAAACGAAATCACAAAATGAACGACAACCCTTCGCAATCAAACCATGGAATTAAAATGATTTCTTACGCACATCACTTGATCCCGTCTGCGTTTCTATAATGAATTCCACGTGTTTTGTTATTAATCTCTTTCGCTCGGAAAGAACAAATAGATTTTCTTTTCTTACGATCCAATCACCATGGAGAGCAATCTCATAACCTGTGGAAGCTTTTAATGACATCAGCGTTTTCTTTGTGGGCTTTCAAGAGAAATCGTAAAGGCGCAATAAAAGAAGTACTTCAAGACCCCATGAAAAAAGCTTCCAAATCGAAAAATTTCGGAGGATGAGTGGTTCAGAGACCGACTTGATCAATTCAATAGTGGATACGCAGAACAAAAAGCTTGTGGAAAGATAAAATTGCCCTTAAAAGGACCACTGCCTACTTCAGAGACCCTGAGGAAGCAGGCTAGAACACGTAGCACTTTGCCCAAACACGAAATGCAAATCGAATTTATCTCCCAAACATACTTCTGACACTAATTACGGGGAAGATGAATGAGTATTCAAAAACACCAAAGCCAAGTGCTTATCCATCAAATGAACGCGACATCACCTGCTCGTACCCACGAAGAAAAAACTTGCGGCAAAAAAGAGAAATTTAAAGTGATTTTAACATGAAATTCAAAGAGTCACCACCACCGAAGCACCTTCTCTTCTAACTGCTTACAAAAACCGACTAATAGTAGTCTCTTCATGGCCGAACAATAAAAAACGAAACCAGTTCCTATTCAAATAAGGTTAGATACACACGAATCGTAAAAGTAAAAAGGAGCCTAGTAAAAATCAGTTGAACGGTTCAATTAACATAAGAAACCACCTCCGAAACCTGATCAATTTAGGAAAAAGACAGAAAATTGATCAACCGGTAGAAGGATAGGAAAAGTTGGTAAGTAAGACGAAGAGTAAGTCTTTAAACGTAGGTAAATTGCCACTTAGGTAATAAATAACAACCGAAACCACTCAGAGAACGTTAACAAAGAGTAACAACTCGAAAAGAAAAGAAACGAAAAGGCGTCACGAGCGGCGACATTTTTACGCTGTAAAAAGGTACCGTACTAGAATTGCGGCGTCGTTTAAATTGTGTTGTTGCTTTGGCGGTCAAAGCAAGTTACGAGACGTCACCAAATGAAGGTGCCTCACTTTGAAGTATGTTTCACGTCGTTTCACGCCTTACAACTGTTGTAAAAGTGCCACTCTCAGTACCAGTGAGACACTCGCTTGTATTGATGATTCTGTACAGAGTTTCTGCTCTTTGGCCCTTTTAGAGCAGTTATTCCGAGCTGAACACACTGTAAGACTGAGTATTTGCATTTTTGCATGACGTATCAAGTTTCTGAAGTTCTGACCGGGATGAGAACATTTTAACGAACCCTTTACTCCTAAAACTACACGACCGAGATTTTTAGCCAATCTTAATTTAGCTGGTCTCCGGAATTTGTCCGGTAGGTAGAAATGGTGCTTGAGCTCAGAGTTTCTCGAGTGGCTTTCGTTTTTCCAGGCTTCAAAGAATACGAAAAAGCCGGAACGTCAAAGGATTGGTCGAAAATCTTGACCGTACAGCTTAGGAACTGGAAGGTACAGGAGAAGGAGAATGCCGGGATCCATTGAGAGACGAACTTCGATAAAGATCGAACTCAAGGGGGCTTCATTATTGTATGTAAGTCCACTAAATAGTTTTGATAAGTGAATCAAAAAATGTACAGTAGTTGCTATTTCAGAAGGATAGGGTGAAGATAGACCTGGACAGAGTGAAGGTTCATTCATAACGAGGAACTAAGCAAAGAAGGGGAATCATTTTCAAATGGCCTTTTTAGAGCTCCTCCTGTATGTCGTAGCTTAGTCATGTTATAGATCGGGTGTCATAGCGTCAATAAAGATGGCGATTACGATAACTACTTTACCGTAACCATAATATGATCGCTCCTTCCGTTACTTTCCTGTAAGACTAGATCACTCTACTTTTCTTTTGAAGCTAATGAATACGAGGACATGAGGATTATAGTGATCATATTATGGTTACGGTACGAGGCGATCGATTTCTTTCGTCCGACCGGTATACAACTGTGTAAAATCCTATTACTTATACAAGAAGAACCAGTAGGCAGCCGCTATAGGTGAATGGTGCAACCCGATAGGCAACACATCGAATAGTCTATTTGGTTGCGCCATGCACTCAACATCCGCTCGGATTCGCCGAGACCACTATACAATTCAGCGCTTTTATTCTACAAGATGATTTTGGTACCTAGTCAACTATAGCTATAGAGGATGGGAGGCTTGTCTGGTGTAAGCCGTACGATCCAGGCTTCGAACATGTGGCCATACGTGCGTAACAGCGCGCCGCTTTCCACTACACCACCTATGCCTTAGTTCATTTAGTATCTTATAGAGCGATTACTTAGAGCTCATATAACGGAAAAAAGACGTCAAATACCAATACAACTTACAACCTGGCACTTGTCCCTCCCTTGTCCTCTGATTACGATTACTCCAGTAGCTACATCCCACTCTCAAATGAGGATCCCCGCAGTCAGATGTTTGTGGGTGGGAATAATGATGGTGGTGATGACGAAGAGCAGGTGACTGAAGTATGACCAAAGTAACCGGGCCGCGTCGAGAAATGAAAGGCGAACTGTGAGGAGGCTGTAACGAGATTGCAGACCACCCCAAGTTGAGGCAATTGACCCGAATTCGTTTCAGCATCGTAGTAGCCAGTTCTGGCAGAAAAAGAAATGATCGTAAACATCAAAATAGTCGAAATAAAAAGGCGGCCCTTTACATCTTCTTTAGTCATTCTTCAACCATATAAATGGCCGATGACCTTTAACGATCCCATATAACTGCGGCGTTAGATGGCCCATTCAATTTTTATCGGAGTTCTCGTAACCAGCAAGTTCTGGTTTTCCGGTTCCCGATATATTTTTTGTCTCACCTGAACTTCTACAACACCGATGAAATAGTTAGATTCGACTGAAAAAGAACGAGCGATTGCGATAAGTCTGATTTACTATGGACCTTACTGGATCCAGAGTTATTCAGTTAACCAGTGACCTGACCTGTTCCCGAAAAAACGGATCTGAAAAGCTGATCTTGTCGCCTTACCAAAATCCAATGCTCATTCCGAAAAAGTTTCTGGAGGTTCTTGAACAGGTTGGATAGGTAGCTACGAGATGTTTCGCAGAACACATCTTCAGAACAAGCTACGTTCATAAACAACCCTTCCTTCTTGTCAATTGGCTCTGAGGCCCTGATCTCCCTTATTCAACTCACCTTTTACAGATGACAAAAACAGCCAACATTAAACTGCTGAAAAAATGTTTACAAAAATCATAGCTATAAGCTTAGTGGAGGTGAGAGCCAGATGGCCTACTATCTCACGCATGGCCCCGAGGACAATCCCGGCTTAGCTCCCGCCTGAGCCAACAAAGCCTTCCATCCTTACGGATTGCTTAACTGGTACCACAGTCAAGTGCGAGTATAAGAGCGCTGATTTCTACACCAACCGGCTACCACAAGCCATTGTATAAACCAAACATGCATTCAAAAACAAACAAAACCGCAGTTCTCAGTGGAAGTTGAGTTCGTGGCGCATTCCCAATTGATTGATCAGCGCCAAAAGACCTTGTTTTCGATCACACAATCATTAGTTATGTTTGAGAAATCGGAAATCAGAAGGAATGGATCAGAATCAGAATCAGAGGATCGTGCAAAAACGAACTATACTTTTGAAGTTTAATCAGATTTCTAGGATGAGCGGCTCGAGTGAGTTCACAGAAAAGTAGACAAGTTGGCTTATATGCAACCAGTAAGTGGTCTAGGTAGAGGTTATTAATGGCTTATGTAACGGAAAGGTAGACGTCAAATAGCAATGCGATCAATATTAATCGATTAATTGATTATTTTGAAATGGCAGAGATGTGTCACTCGATGGATCGAACGCATTGAGAGATTATCAAAACAACGGAGGGTTGCTTCAACAAGACAGGAGAGGATGGAGTGATGAAATAGAAGTTTCGACATATCGATCCTTCATTTTCTGAACTCGTATCATATTATCAATCAACTAACCAGATCGTGAGAAGTAACAGGGAATCAGAAAAAAAGTGTGCAGCCACTTTCTCAGTTAAGTTAGGCCGAGAAAGGTAATCGTTGATGAATTTGATGCTAGAGTGGGTCACTTTGACTGTCGTTAAGGGCACAGTTCACGACAATCTCGAGGTAACATTTTTAAGTCGAAAAACGGAAGTATTGGTTGGGAATAGTGCATCGGTGGTGAAAAAAGCGAGAAAATCCGTCGCCACGGCGAGAAAGAAGGCTTCCTAAGAGTGGTGCAAATAGAGGTCGTACGAGATTACCGTGACGGAAATGACACGGAAGGGGTATTGAACGAGAT